TCCGAGACGGTACCGTAACCCTACAAAACACAACTGAATCAATAGCTGATACGCGGCAGGAAAAGGCCAGGCTCACCAGCTTGCCAAGCAGAACGTCTGCGACAGCCGTCAAATCGGGCATGTACACGTCCTTCGGCGCCACGAAGAAGTTATCCGGCAACGCCTCGCCGTCCTCCGCCCAGTCCTTCGGAACACCGCATACGATCGCGATCCAGCTCTCGTCCGGTAGGAGGGTACCAAACACGTCATATTTGTACTCTTCCTCGGGCGTCGCAGCTTGCCCGAAGGGATTCTCAGTCACCTCGTCAATAGTCGGCGCCGGCGGGAACACGGACGGAAAGGTGGGCACGGTGGCCGCGACAGGCGAGGTCGGGACGGACGCCGCGGGCGCGCCGGGTATCATGAGCAGCGATCCACTGCGCTTGCGCTCGAGGCGTACTCTTAGCGATCCAGAGCGGCGTGGTGCATGTCTATTGGTTTCCAGCGCATTTACGAGGGTTTCGACGCCGGCGGCGGCGCTCACAGGTTCCGGTGGCATGCCCTTCTTGATGTCAGCGACGTCCATAACAGGGCTATAAGAAGAATGGGTATGAAGCGCGACGTTTATCTGTTTGGACGGCCCGAGGATGGACGGGTCAGGCGTGTGCAAGCGCGAAGACGAGCGGCTGTGTGTCCGGCTGTGTGACGGTTTGTGGAAGACCTGCCCGCCGAAGGAGACAATAAGAATCTTTATGCTTGGGTCATCCTGGAGGTGACGTGGGACGCCGACGGAGTCCAACAAGTGCTGGCGGCCCCCGCTGGTGTACACAGCCGGGTGGGGTGACCGGACAAGGAGTGGAGCAGAGATTACAGCTCTGGAGATCGCCTTTGGTGGGTATGTGCATGGGAATGGCATCTGATTGAGGAGAGTATGATGTGAGGTGTCTTGGTATAAGTGACCAAATATCGCTGGTGTAAATCGTCGTGTTTGGACGTCTACCCAGTCAGGAGATGGTAGTAGAGGTTGTTCCGTGAATGAGGGTATTGGGATTGCTCCTGGTAAACGTAGTAGCAAGTCGGCACACCGATAGCCTTCCCATAGGTGTCGAACCAAGGGCTCTACTTCATGTCTGAGCAGCGGAACATCTAGTGGCAACGGTGGATGGGGCGATGTATGGGTTTTCAAAGCATTGACGAGCTGGTCCTTTGCATCTGTCTCGTCGATGATGAGCGTAGACAGGTAGCTGTATACTGAATCGAAGGTAAAGTTGGTAATCAGCACCGACGGTATGCCCACAGTATTCGCCGCAGCACTATGCGAAGATCCCGTTAAATATGGAGAATATCATCGAAATTTTGAATACCTACCAACCAAGAAAGGCTGCATCGCTCAAAACACAGTCCGCCCCAACGACCCGCAGCCAATTCGCCTCATTTTTGATCTTCTGCGGAGTTTTCTCCAAGAAATCTTTGAGGACCTCTATGCTCTTGACGCGATCTACTCGATAACTACCATGGCAATCACATCAAGACACGGAAACACCGAGGGAACAGAAAGGCTTACGCTAGTGGCTGCACGATGACAGGATCTATGTCTGCGTTTCGATACAAAGCTGCGGAGCCGAAAAGTGAGCGGCGCGTCCAATCGAGGCTCCTCGTAATGCTGACCTCCCAGAGCTATGCTGTCCGCGAACACGTGCTTTGGGGCCGAGGACACAATGTGCACGACTGGTTGCGGGGTCAGTCGCAACAGGTGAGAAGCAAACGCAGAGACACGCGTTGCATGTCCGTATCCTGAGGCAGATTTGGGTCATGACTGCGATAAGCGGGATGTCGCGGCGTTCACAGGTCAAGTACTCACCGTGACCTGAGCAGTAATACACAAACTTCATCCTGCGATGTATAACGGGCTACAGCGTTCTCTAAAAGGAGCTCTATTGCGTTCCGTGAATCGATACCGAGGGTCCTGCGGCTCGGTGATATCTGGGTGGCCAAGGTTTGGCTGACCGGCCGGCGCAGATCTTGGCTGTCTACTTCATCGAGTATGCGGTCATAAGAACACAAAAAACTCGAATAAATAGGCTGAACACATACTTTACGGCTCTAGTCGCGACAGAACACAGGAAGGAGAAGAACAAGTTGTCGAACATGGTGCTCGTTGCTTGGAACAGGCGATGCCCGCCCACCTCAACATCGCAAAGCCCGATGATGTCAGACCGTCTCTAGTGCGCACGTGATGTAGGCGCGCAGACCGACAGACGCCCCCCGTCGCCGGCTCACAAAATAAGTCCTAACATGAATCTGCGGATATACGGTATCTCAAAGCCGTATGGCATGATGAGGATTGCAACACCAGAGTGGCTCGCAAAATCACATTATCGTAATCTCTAGAATAGCCCAAATACACCACCAGTCAAAACGCATGCGGAGAGCTTCGATTGGCCAGTGTCATCTGATGTACCCACACCGCACCGGGGGCACACCAGAAAAAGAAGAAAAAGTACAGAAGGGCCAGAAAGAGAGCCGAGAGGGAGCGTGTACGAGAGTAGGATCCGTCAGTAGACTAGTCATGTGCGTCCGAAAAGGGACAACGAAGGAGGGAGCAGTAGTGGTGCAAAAACGTCAAAAGTCGAGGAACGCCGCCTCGCTCAGCCTCCTGCTCTCCTCGTCCTGTATCTCCCCGGCGTAGAGAATGATGCTTCCGCGCGTGTGCATCGTCGGGCTCAGCGGCTGCCGCGGACGTGGGCGCGGGCGCGGGGCGTCCAAGCGCGCCGCCGGCGTCGGGGCTGACACGGAGCGCGGCGACAACGAGTGCGACGACGGCACAGGCGGCCGCGTCGCGAAGGCGGTGTCGACGACGAGCGTGGACCTGGGGCGTAGGCCGAGCTTGCCTGAGATTGTGCCTGCGACGGAGCGCCGCAGGTTGCCCATGGACGTGGCCTTCTGTATCGGCGAGCTCTGCAAAACAAAAACAAAAAACAAAAAACGAATCGTCAGCGGAGGAAATTCGAGTGTGGTCAGGGGATGCGTACGGGTGTGGTGGTGTCGCCCCGCTTGAACAACCCGCGCCTGCGCACCGTCTGCGCGTGGTCGGCGGAAGACTTGCGCGGGTGCAGGCCTGGTAGCTCGGGGACGAAATCGTCGCCGTCGTCGTCATCGTCCTCGGTGGGGCTCTCGACGATCACCTCGGACATCGCAGTCAGCGGTGTGCCCTCCGACGTCTTGATCTTCGGCACATCGCGCTGGTTGAGCGAACACGACTCACCAGACGCGACGCTCGAGCTCCTCGCGCGCCCCGGGGTGTCGTCGGCGGGCCTGGGAGTATTTGGCGAATCGGATGTGGACACAGACGAGGTCGTGCGTGTAGGCGAGAGCGCGGGTATGCTTGTGGCCGTGGACACTGTCGCCAGTGATCGACCGCGCTGTATCGGAATCGGCGCACTGTTGCTCGTGCTGGACGGCGCAAGGAAGGCCGCATCATGCGACGGGTGAGGGCCGTCAAAAATCGTCGGTGGGGAAGAGGGTGTGAGTAGCGATGTGGTCTGCTTGCCCTTTGCTTGCCCTTTCCCAACATGCGCGCCATCGCGTCCTTCCGAACGCGGACTCGCTGCGCTAGTAGGGTTCCACCGCACCCGGCTGTTGAGAGACGTCGCAGGCGAGGCCGGCAGTGGAACGTCAACAGGGTCGAGTGCGAGACACAAGCTGTCGACGTCGGCATCCGCGTCCACGTCTGGAGACACTGTGGCGTCTGCGAGCTCTGCCTGTGACGGAGACAAGAGCGAGGGCGAATGGCTCCTCACGAGCCGTGGGAGCCGCGGAGATACCGGCTTGCTGATCACGACGTCGTCCCCGGCGTCGATCGCGGCGGCACTCAGCGACGATCTGCTCCTCGCCATCTCCTCCTCGCTCGCGCGGCGCTGCCCGGCGATCTGCGTGTTCTCGCCCACGACGCGCGAACTGCCATCGTCGCACGCCACGTCTGCCACGTCCGCCACGTTCCGCGCGAGCCATTGCTCGCGTATGCGCCTCGCCTCAGTCTCGCCCTCGCTTGAGCTGCCGTCGCCATCGCACAGGACCGTGAAGCGCCGGTCGTGTTCGGCCTCTTGCGCGCTCATCGGGAGCGTGTCGCCGTTCGCGTCGCGGTGCCGCCGCGGGACGAGGCCCCGCGCGAGCAGCGCTGCTTCGCGCTGCCCTGGCGAGGAGAATGTGTTCGGGAGCGTCGGCACCGGCGCCTTTGGGCGGGGGACCGGCGGCAGGAGCACCGTGCACCGCCGCTTCGGTTTGCTGCCAGACGCCTTGTCGGCGGGTGCCGCGGTGCTCGATGATGCGACCGGCTGCGGTGAGCGTAGCTTGGTGGCGATGCGCTTCAGCAGGCCGGCCTTGGGGGCCTGCGCTGTAGTTGAGGGTAAGGGTGTCGTGGAAGGCATGGTATGTGCAGTCAACTCCCGGGAGCTGCAAGGCTTTTGTGAGCATCCGTCCACGGAGATATCATGAGAGCGCCATGGAACAGAACTAGACAAGGCGGGCCTGGCCAGTACACGATGTCCATTCAAGAAGGAATGCGACAGGGACAACGTCAGATCTTGACGGTGCCGCAAAAATCGAGCAGTCTCCCCGGCGTCTAGTGGTACCGCCGGCAGGCACTGGACGTGACGTGCGACGGCTGAACGACGACCGTGTAACTAGACTGCCTAAAAGCCACCGGGGAATCACCGGTGGGAAAGGGCAGAGCGGGCCTGGCCGATAGAAGTGGCCAAGGGCAAGGTACACTCAAGCGCTAGGTTACAAACCTGGCTGAGCGGAGGAAGGGAAGAAAGGGGAATCGCTAGGAAGAGCAGTCTTCCGTTCTTCGCTACATGTGCTCCCACATGCAGCAGGACAAATGCACACACGAACCTTGGAAGCGTGGTTGCGGATCGGATGAATATGGTGTCCTTGGGCGGGTAGACGGGGACCTGTAAACTGTGTCTAGAATTAGCATGTTCCTGGATGAAGAAGCTGTGCAAATCATGAAAAATTGTAGAAGACAAGCGGGGGTCTTCTACGAGAAAGATGCATAGAAACGAGTCACACGAGTCTCGCACAGCGGCGTACAAGGGGATATGGCAAAAGACCGTGCCGTGAGGAGGGGAAATACGCACCTGATGGTCGAATAAACTGCTACCGGATTGCTGGGTATGTGACGTCGAAGGGTATAACTATATCTACGAAAATTTCAGCCAAGTTCATAAATCAACTCGGATGGAAAGATTACCTCTGCAAAGGGTAGCCCGCCGGAACCAGAGTCGAAGTGATCGTTGTGAAGCGATCGGGGCTATTTCACAACGATGTGGAAGCAAACTAGATCGGTCACATAGCAATGGTTCTAGCTTTACAACTATTGGGAAGGGCGAGAGGTTGCTTACGGAAGACCTAACTTGGACCGCAGTTCTTATGCGCTAACGGTCCAGTAGACAGTGCCTAGCAGATACACGGGTGGCGCAGATGGATGGTGATGGCAGCGTCAACGCTGCGGGTGGACAGATGGACAGTCGGGCGGGTACCTGGCAGGAAGACTAGAGGAATCGGAAGGGGGAAAAGAGGAGAGCAGAAGAGGACGAGCATGGCTGGTATTTAAGCGTGCAGTGGAGGGGACAAATTGAAAGGACTGGACGTGGTTTGAACATGCGACGAGGCTCGGGACATGCCCGTAATTGAACGAAGCTGGAGCCCCGCACTGTCGCATCAAGCACATGAGAAGACGCTACCGTTTAGGCGGGCGACCGGGACCAATTCCGGCGTGTGTTCGCTGCGTCGCATGACACGCCGCTTATGGTGGCCTTCGAAGAGCCTCCTCCGCCGGAACTTGCAGCAGCTAGTCGTGGATTTACCCGCGTAGCGAGCCTGGAATCACGTACAGCGGGATGTTCCTCTCTGCGATACGACCCTGCAACAGCCTGAGAACGGCAACATCACCTCGAAGACATCGTGGCGTGGTCCCAACAACAGCAACAAACCAGACCTCAACCGGGTCCAGGCCCATATCTCCTGAAAAGGCAAATAAGTCCTTTTTCCGCGGAGCGACACGCCAAGCCTACCGGAGAAAAGCGAGATCCAAGCGCCGTCATCCAGCGGGAAGGACGCCAGAGTCGCTCGTTTGTCCTCCTCGACGTCACCCATTGGGTAATGCATCTCCTAATCTTTATGTCTACATCTTATTCATAACGCGCACATCTCCTCGGCTGCACAGTGAGTCGAAAGCATCTTGGCGGGAGAGGAGAGCACCTGAAACTTCGAACATTGGCTCGCCGGATAATGAGCGAGACACTGCTGGCCGTCCTGCTCGTCACGTCCTCAGCAAAGGGTTCTAGTCTCGTCTATCGATGGCCGCCACATCCTGCCACTCGCCCTAGGCTCGCACGCCCGCTTCCCACACACGACGCGACCTGCGTACACGCCGACAACCCTTGGCGCGCCGCACACGCCTCCCAGCCATCCAATCCATGCAACGAATACGTCCCCGAGGAAGACGACTACCGTTGGCACCGACTCAACGCCGACCGTCCACGGTCCCTCTCCTTCTCTCATGGCCGCTCTCGTCCCGCCTCACGCAGGCCATCTCCATCCAAAGACGTCAAGGACTCGCTTGTCATGGAGGGCCAGCACGAGCTGGACATTCACGAACACGACGAGCTGCTGGGATACTCTGCCGAGTTCCTTGCCAGCCTGCTATGTCCACACTCAGCCATGTGCCACCAGAAGTTCGAGCTCGTGGTCGACGAGCTGGCATTCATCGGCCATCCAGTGTGCGCCGAGGAGGACGGCGGCTGGCGGTTCC